ACCAAATAACAAACAAGACAGAAACAAACAAGTCAAAAATAAGTGAATGCAAACTAGAAGGTCTTATAATGATAGAGAAACTAGAAATAGAAGTTATTAAACAACAAAAACTAGAAAAAAATATTAGTCAAGAAGTAATAGAAGTTCTAAAGAAAAACATTATAAAAGACAAAAGCAAATATATAATATATACTAATAGTGCAACTAATAGGAAAAACAGTAAAGAGCTAATGCCTAGCAACAGTATAGGCATAGGATAGGTCTAAACAGATAAAACACAAGAATGGCCAGAAGAAAATTAATATTTGGACTTGAAGGATGGCAAACATCAATGGTAGCAGAGCTGGTAGCAATTTGGACAGCAATCTTAACAATACCAAAAGAGAAACAGATTGAAATACATACTGATAGTAATGCTGCAATAAGAAATATCAACAGAAGCTTAGAACAAGTAGATAGAAACAAGATTATTAAAAAGAAGAATGCAATATGGATAATAAAGATTAAAAACCTGGTTAAGACAAAAAACATTTAGATAGATCTAGTTAAAATTAAAAGTCATAGTAAAGATAAGTGAAATGATAGAGCTGATAGTTTAGTGAAAAAAAGAACAATAAGTAGGAAATTATACAAGCTAAAAAAGTCAGTTGTAAAGAGATAGAGTACTGCCTAGAGTGGAAAAACAGATGAACTGACATACCAGCCAGACTGCTTTGCAAGTTAGTAACAAATACAAGAATAAAAGCAGAGTGGAAAGAAATAAGAACAGTTAAAAGTTTAGAGCCAGAAGCAGAAATCATAATCTATGATTAGACTTATTTGTAGAAAAAGCTAAAGATGACCAAGAGAATACATTGCACAACAAGAAGAAGTAGTATGAGAAGAAGTGCTTTCATTAAGTGCATAATAGATAAGCTTCCAACCTTGGAAGAACTTAACAGAAGAAGGCCTGATATATACACAACAGTAGAATGCCAAGTATGCCAAGAAAAAGTAAAAGAAACACAAGCACATTTGGCTGCATGCAAGGGGCAAAAAAATCTCTGAAAGAGAATTCAAAAGGTAACCATTGCAACAGTATGGAAGAAACTAAAAGAAGAAGAAAAGATCTGAATTTCTTCACACATGCTATATATGGCACTTTTTGGAAAAACAAAAACAGAAGAAGTCAAAATAAGAGAAGCACTAATAAAAGGCTTAATCCTCAAAAAAACACAAGATAAACTGGCACAGCTCTTAAATTCAAAATCAAGACAGCAATTTGTAAATGCAGTAACAATAACAGCCTGGGATACATTTTACGAACAAGTATGGAGAATACGGTGTGAAAAAATTATCGAATGGAAGAAAAAAATTGGAATAACAGATAAAACTAAAAAGAAAAAAGATGAAAAGTTGAAGAAACTGAGAAAACGCAAAAAGACAAATTAAGAAAGAATAGAAAGGAAAAAAGAAGAAATAAGAGAAAAGGAAAAGCAAGTTGAGAAGGAAGTAATGAAGACAATGTTGGGGCTTGTCATGAAAGGGAGAAGACCCTTCTATTATGGACTTTAAGTAGTCAGACAAGCAGCTTACTTCTGCTCGAAGTAATGCGGCAGGTTGCACTTAGGTACCAGTAAGGTGGCCAGGTGATGCTAGACTTAGATATTAGGGATATTTATGTAGTTACAAATGTAATTTCAAAAACTTAATAAAGTACTAGCATGACTGCTTATATAAAAAAAAAAAATATTATGTTTATATTATCTTTAAGATCCCTATAACAATACTGGTTTAATATAAATTTGAATGCTTCCTAGAAAAAATTTATATCCTCAATGAAGTATTGAATAAAAAATAAAAAAAATTTATTTAAGTAACCAGTATGTATATAAAGATAAATATTTAAGACATTTTATTTATCTTTTTTTTTTTTATTTTAAAGCGGTAATCTTGCCTGTCTGTCTTTATTGAGTAATATATCATTATTCAAGTATATACAAAGTCTATCAACGAAAGTATAACTAGTCATACGTATAACTTTAGTCATTATCTAATTAAGGGTTCCACCCAAGAGTTACCCACTAGCTGTCATACCTGAGATCCACCTGTGAATCCCTATTTAAACTTTCTGATTTCAATCCTATTGCATATATGCAATGCTTCTATTACCACATGGACATGCCAAGTTAAGGCTATCTAATTACTATTTATATCAAGATACCACCTCATTAGATGTTACCAGGTATTCATAATTCCTTGAATTTACCCTTGATGCAAACTTACTAAGTATGGTACCAAGATTACCTTTTAGATTTATCCAATTTTAGTAGATCCCGTATTTACTAGAACTGGTTTGATGCCAGAAGTGTTCGAATTTTGGTAAGTTCATTCCTTTTCCATAGTTTTCTTTTATGTTCACCATATCACCCGCTAGTGCACCTTCTCTCCATTTCTGGTATGTTCACTGCTTCTCTCACATCAAGCACCAACTCTTCATATCAGAAATCTTTTTTCTGGAAACTTCCTTATACACTGATCTTCTAATCACATGAACTTAGCCACAGGGCTTCGTGTACATTCATATGCTTCCATAGATTACAGAGTTGCCTCCAGCTGAGATTGAACCGTCGACCTTGTCTGTGGAGGGAGGGGCGCCTAGACCACTAGGCTACGGGACCCCATCCCTGACATTTTATTTATCTATTTTTTTTTAAAAAAAATTACCTTGTAACGTTTGAAATATTGAATAAAAAAAATTTTTTTACTTGAGCAACCAGTACACACATTTTTTATTTAGTTTAAAAATTATATTTTAATTCTGTAAAATTTTCGCTTCTTTTTGTAACTGTAAAACCGATAATTATAACAAGTTTTGAAATGTGTCAATCTAAAATTTTTTTTTGGACCTTGTGGCGGTGCTAAGAGTAGCGTGATCTATTTTATCCAATTGGAGATGGTATTTCATACATCCAATCAGAACTTGGGGGGAAATAGGTCTCCTCCTTTTTTACCTTGGGTATTTTTTACTTACGTACCAAAACTTTTTCTTTGTTATAATAAATAAATATAAATATGATTAGGTCCCTCAGAATAAATATAACATGCATGATAATCATGATATTTGGAATCATTTTACAAAAATTGGACCAGATGAAACTTTAAGCAAGGATGTGCTCAATGTAATTACTGCGATTAAACCTTGCCGCACAAAAAATACGTGGAAATTCACTATTTAGATTGGCCAACGGCAACGATCAAAGATTTACTCAAATTTTTACTATGCCATTGAAGTTCAATAACGCTAGCTAAATTTTTCATAGTGCTGGCACGTGTGAAATTTAGATGAAATCCATGTTACCAAAACCTATGTGAAATTACATGTAAGTTTGTAAAATGTGATTTTCAATCCTATGTAAAATATTTTCCTGGGTTGCAATTAAAGAATTAAATTCCGGCCAAAATTATGTGTGGACCAGAATTTTGTCGATCACAGTCGTTGGCCATGTATTTTTTGTGCCAATCTCTAATCATGGTCGACAAAAAATTTTATACTTAAAATTTTGCTTATGAAACTACTTTTCGTGCTCTAATAAAAAAACTCCTTTCATTAATTTTAGTATATAATCTCGCTTAGACCCAAACTCTAATCTAACATAACCATAAACTAATCCTAACTTCGAATTCTGTTTAATGCAGGCCGACGTCGATCAATCTAGGCCAAATGATTGACAAAACCCGGCACAGAAGGTTGAGTGAAAACAAATGAATTTGTCAACGTTGACTTACTATTTAAAATATAGTTGCAACTTTAACATGTCTCAAATAAACGTGAATATACTTTCATAAATTCATATCGCCAATTATTTCCTAATGATCAAAACCTCAAATATAATATAAAAGGATTATTATATTAAAATGGAAACGTTCCAGATTTTTTATATCGTTGCAAATCTTCATAATTTTCTTGAATATATCTTTTTTTCCATGTTTGATATGGTTCTAAACTTTCATGTGTTTGAAGTTTGGAATATAATCTTTGCAATGCTGCTTCTCGTATTAGATTACGTCTCTTCCATATTTTACGCTGTCGCTTTTTAATAGCGTATTGCTCTTCGGGATTAATGTTTGCTTTTTGTCGTTCAATCCTTCGTCTGATCAAGATCCTTGATCTCCAATAATATGAACCTTTTCCTTTTATCAAGATGCGCTCACGAGATTGAGGATTTATACCGTATCTTTTAATATCTTCGTGAAGTTTTTTAATCTCCTCAATGTGTCTAGTTTGTTTGTACAATTTCTCCAGGTGATAAAATGTGAATCGATCTGGAATAATATTTGATTTTTTCATCATTTCATACATTTCTTTACCTTTTTCATAATTCCTCTTAATCGCAAACCCTTGAATTAATGATGTAAAAGTCACATGATTAGGAGATACACCATGGTTAATCATGTGATCGAACATTTCAATCGCTTTATCCATATTTCCTGATTTTACCAACGCAGTGATCAAAGCTGAATAAACATGAACATTGGGTGTGAGTCCACGTGCTAAGAGATCTTTGAAAGCTTTAATAGCTATTGCAAAATCGGATGATGCAGTGGCAAGGGATATTATAGAAGTATATATATATATAGATGGTTCTATTCCTGCAGAAATCATTCGGTTGAAAAATTTCCAAGCAAGCTCCGTATTTCCTGCTAATCCATGATGACGGATCGGAGAGTTGTAAGCTACATCTGTTATGGGAATGTTTCTTTTGGACATTTCATTGAAAGCTTCACATATATTCGCAAATGCATGTCTTTTGGATATTGCATCGATAAGTAGCTCAAACGTATAATGGTTTGGCTCCAATTTTTCTGCTAACATTTCAAGATACAAAGCTTCGATCTGTGAAGCACTTACTTTTCGGTCACGAGCGTGAGAATATATAAGCTGATTGAATGACACTGTGTTAGGAATAATTCCAGCTTCTTTCATTTTGTCATATGTTTTTCTGGCACCTTCCGAATCATCAAGTATTCCACGCAGATAAATTAAAGCAGCAAATAAATAATTATCGTGTTCTATACCTTTCTCGGACATTTGTTTATA